TTTTATTTTCTTTTTGGTCGAACACTATTTTTTTTTTTTTCTATAATTGAAAATTTTTGTAAAGTAATGTGGGTCTATGATGTATATGTATTTAAATTTCTTTTACGTAGCTTGTTTTTTTAAAAGGAAATAATAAACAGTAGAGTAGTACTATAATTTTGTCCACCATCTTCTATGAAACTCGACCGAACATAAATGGGTTTTCTTCATCAACAAGTACGAATTTTTCTTTTTTAATTTTCTTCGATTGGACACAACGAGGATCGTTTGGTTAATGTCCAGTCTAGTTATTGATTTTTCTTTTTTATGTATAGTCTTGTATCACTGTTCTTTTTTGTTTTTTTTAAGAGGAAATACTAAAAAGTAGAGTACTATGTATTTTTCTTGTCAAATATATATAGTCCACTAATATTTGATAAGCTTTCATCTTCTGTAACAAATCCTGGTATTAGAAAGCTTTGTTAATTTGTAGCTATGTTAATGGTAATATATTAAATAATCATTTTGATGTTTCTTACATTATTTATGTGTAATTATTTTTGTTTGTTTTGTCAACTTATATTTATGTTGTTCCTCCAACTGTCTAACATACGGGGGAGGGGATAACTAAATGTTCGTAAAATAGTTACATTTACTAATAGAAGCAAAGAAACATATATGAAACGAGCCATTGATTTCAAGTTTTAACTTTAATTTGATTAGAATTTTTTTAGTAATTTTTTATTATTATTTTAAACATAGTAATTTTGAATTGTGAACCTCGTACGAAGAAAGAGAATAATATCTCTCTAATAGTTAACATGTGGAGATGATGGGGTTTAAATATTATTTTTCTTCATACAAGACCACAATAAACTGACACGTCGACTGACATAAAAAACAAAAGTGAGACCCATGATATTTTCTCATCGAGCTTCCATATCTCATTAGCCGAAATATAACACATTTTTAATTGAAGTGCGGAAAAATTTGTTGAGGTAAAGCCGTATAAAATAGTTCAGTGTCAACTATTTGATTTAAAACTGAAAATTGAATTTACAGTTTTGATGAAAACAGTTGGAAAAAACAACTGTCAATAGTTTACCAAAAAAAAAAAAAACAACTGTCAATACAGCAAACTACATGTATGAAAAACCATCATACAAACTCTTTTTGCAGGAAACTCTTTATAAATATCAACAATTATTAGTGATAAGGTTCAGACAAAATCTTTTTTTATCTTTGGCAAAATTTCAAAAGCAATCTTGCATACGAATTGAATGCGTAGGAAAAAGTATTTCAAATCATTTCCGGAAAAATATAACGTGCGTTTCCTTTGAAGGACTTTTTTCACCTAACATCTTACTATTTTTAACTAATTGTCTGAGAGTTTTCAAGAACAATGATGGAATTTTTTCTCCTTTTTTTGACCAATTAAAGTTTCCAAAACTAGTAAAAAGCTAATCAGCATTAGTTTCATACGTAATTAGCTTCCGGCGATTTAGGTTAAATAGACATTTTAACCAAATATACTGAGTCACATTTATTCAGTTAAGATAGATACAAATATCAATAGAAAACCAAATTTGTCTGTTTACAATATAACAGTAGTAATCATTTAAACAAGAACATAAATAAAATTGGTAATCATAGGCATGGCCACAACATTTGATTTTTGTACAATTAGTTTGAATTTGAAATATCCAGCTCTAGTAAAAAACAGAGAAAAGGAACAAACAAAAAATCTAATAATTATATAGGGAAAAAAACAATGGTCCGCCTGTTACTAGCAGATATCCATTCTTAGGTATCTAGCTATAACTATGAAGACAGAGTTATCATTTTGTTCCATCAAATATTGACACCATTTATTGTTTATTTTCTTTATTACTTATAAAAAAAAAATCAAAAATCATTTGTTGGTATATTACATACTTAGGACAGTCGAAGAAAACACGTTAATGACTAATTAAGAAAGATATTTAATTATTCACCATATCAACCTAACAATAACAATAAGAATATAAATTAAAAGGGTTTATATAAATATAGAAACACGTTATCGTGTATATTCCTTTGATCTATATGCTTTAAAAAGTTACCATATCTTAAGAAGAAGAAAATCAGATTCAAGAAAAAAAGAAGAGAGAAAATATGGGAAGAGGGAGAGTGGAGATGAAGAGGATAGAGAACAAAATCAATAGACAAGTGACTTTCTCAAAGAGAAGAAATGGTTTGTTGAAGAAAGCTTATGAGCTCTCTGTTCTTTGTGATGCTGAAGTTGCTCTTATCATCTTCTCTAGCCGTGGAAAGCTCTACGAGTTTGGTAGTGTTGGGTATGTATATATATATCTTTGCTCCTTTGATCGATCTTTAGCTTTTATTATATTCAATCAAAGTTAGGTTTGTTATGAAAATTGATTAGATGGGTTCTTTTATCACTGGCAATATATTAAAGGTTGTGTCTTTTATCCTAAGGTAACTAGGGTTCATCGTTATATCATCTCTCGCTTGGTTTTGGATCCATGAAAATTTTTAATTATTGGGTCCGTACAGTTTACTTTATTGTTTGATCTTTATTTGATTTTCGATTCCTTTGGTTTTTAAATCTTTAAAATATGTCTGTTTACAGTTTAATCGATTCCTAAGTTCAATTTTTTTTATGGAAGTCTAAATTAGGGTTTTTTTCCCTTTTAGACATGCGTGTAAGATCTAGCTATAGAGTTCTTCGTCGACCTAAGCATATAATCTTCATACATAATTGAACCAATAATCTCTCGTTTAGTAATTTTCATTTTATTGAATTTTGTAGAACTACAAGGACAATCGAACGCTATCAGCGTTGCTACAACTGTTCTCTGGGCAATAATGGGCCTGAAGAGACTACACAGGCAAGTTACATGTATACGTACTTTCAGTAGTACAATAAATTATTCCTGTTATAATTAGATCTCTCTACCACTTAAATCCGTTTGTTACTATATATAATCTAATATGATGCAGAACTGGAGCCAGGAGGTGACAAAGCTTAAATCCAAATACGAATCTCTTGTTCGCACTCATAGGTCTAGTAACAGTTTTCTAAACCCTTAGTAGTTATCATATTACTTTGTTTACATATATTTGCAATTCTCATTTATAATATGTGTGTTTGTTGCTCGTTAATAATCAAGGCATTTGCTTGGAGAAGATCTTGGGGAAATGAGTGTGAAGGAACTACAAACGCTTGAGAGGCAGCTAGAAGCTGCTCTTACTGCGACTCGACATCGCAAGGTTTTATGATCTAAAAGATCGGTCATGCTTCATTTCGAATCATATGTATTTAAAAGATCATAATTAACCACTCAACTAACATATATGTAGACACAAGTTATGATGGAAGAAATGGAGGATCTACGAAAGAAGGCAAGTTATATGCATATATTAATGTTACATACCAAATTGATAAACATATATATGCATATCAATCAACCTACTTTTGAAATGGCAGGAGAGGCAACTAGGAGACATAAACAAACAACTCAAGATCAAGGTTTTTCACTATATAAATCACAAATGATAATTTCTAA